CCCCAAAACCCCAAAACCCCAAAACCCCAAAACCCCAAAACCCCAAAACCCCAAATCACATGTAATTTATTGATTATTTTAACTATAATAATTAAGATGAATATTCCTAGCTACAGGAGCCAAGAAAGACAACTCAGGCGTGTCATGGCCAAACCGAGGTTATTTAACTACCCTGGAGCGAAGAGATATGATAACCGCTGCAGAGGGTTCCTGTCGTGCCTGTTCAGCATTCAGGGACTCATCCAGATGCTTAAGGTCTTATTCCTGCCCCTGTTCTATTGTCAGTGAGGCTATTTAGTAATTTATAAGTTAATTACAAATGAAAATTTGGATAATAATTACTTCTTTGATATTGCTTGTGTGGTAATGATGGCACTATCTTCAGCAAGTTTTGTCCAAGCGCTTCTCACAGATCCTGGATACCTTGATCCGAAGAGGGATCTTGAGCACCAGAGGTCAAACCTGGGGACACCCAAGAACATCTCTATCGAGCTTTCTGGAAACTGTGAATGGAAGTCCAAATCTAATAGTAAAAGGAGCAAAGTCGAGATCGAGCTTTTATCTAATGAAGAAATGAAGGATGTCACTGGTTTTAATGTTACTGACAGAAATCTTGAAACTATGATCAAGTACTCATGTGATGAGAGGAACATGCCTGAAGGACAGGAAGAAGAAAAATTAGAATCATCTAGCCCCAATGCTTCTGACCACCAAAGTAATTCGGTTGAAAAGTCTTTTAGTGGGAAAACAGGGAATTCATTGGGTAATTTAGGCTCTCCTTTTGATGAATCTGTGCATCCAAAATTATCGAAAATAGATTACTGAGTAAAATGCTCTTGAAACAGGTCTCCAAGAACGCATCATTGATCCATCTGCAAGATTTGAGTTATAAGGATGGATCATCATTGCTCATGGATTTCAAATTGTGTTGGAGTGTATAATCATAAATTCTATCTTCTTTTCCTTATTTATACATGCTTATTGGGTATATCAGTGACATTTAAAATTGCTCTGGATTGTAGAAGAGATATATTGGCTCTATTTAGCATCAATGAAGGCTTTATCAATATTATGAGACTTCTAGCTCTTGTTGTTTCGATCCTGATCAGTTTAATCACAGGAAATCTCTGCATCTACCAAATTCAGATGGCCCTTTTAAATAGAACAACGCTGGAGGACATGACTGGGAATTATGATAAATTATCCACCCTCAAGCTTACAAATATGAAGTTTATTATGGGAGAGACCCTGCTCACCTGGTGGATCCCTATCAATCCCAGGTTTGCCAAGCAACTTAATTTTTAATGAAAAGGACCATTCGATGTTTCAATATGCAGGTGATATTATGGGGTTTTGGGGTTTTGGGGTTTTGGGGTTTTGGGG